CGTCCAGTTGAAGACCCGCGTTCCGATATTCCGTATACCGCGTCGAGGGCACCGGCACTACCGACCACTGTAATATACCGCGTCCCGTTATTCTTTGTGTGTAATACCGAATCCCGAGTTGAATAAAGTGAATGTTAATGGTACGTTGCAAATTGATTATTGTCTCTGGGCCTTTCAGTCGAACTCCCGATCCGCCGAACTAGTCCGCGTTCGACGATAAAGTCAGGCCGTTACATATCTAATAATTAAAAAAAGTAAAGATTTATATTATATTTATTTTGAGTTTTAATACCGCATGTCTCGAAGGCTGGAACAGTTGGCCCTATAAGACGTATACATATAATTTTTTGTTCAGCGTAAGAAATACTACCAGGGGGGGGGGGGTCTGGGCGCCTCGGAAATGGTACTATTGGGTATCGATAGTTGTACGTGTGACGAAAAAAAAGGAAAAAAATGTTAAAAATAATGTCAAGTGGGATGAATACGTGAAGTAAACGTGCTTGAAATAGAAGTAAAATAGATGTAAATAGTGATAACGTGACGAAATGGTTATAACGCGTAGTTGAAATGTAGTCTCTAACCTAACCCAACTGGGATGAATCGATTGATTTAGATAGTAAAATTGTCAACGTGTTAAAAATTGTTGGTAAAATGTCAACGCGCGTAGTCTCAAAATGTCCTCTAAACTAACCCAACCCAATCCGACCAAAGGAATAGTATAGAGTCTCAGGACTTTGAATAATATCCTGAGACGAGAATAAGCGCACGATGTATCGAACGTGAAGTAAACGTGGTTGAACGTGAAGTAAAACTGATGTAACGTGATAAATAGATAAACGTGTCTCGACGTGTAGTTGAAATGTCCGTGACTAACCTAAACCAACCCGCGCGACCGAGGGACGTATCGGTGAGATGTGCGTGGGACTTGGAATAAACAGTTAAATACTTGATCAGCGCGTCATCTAACCTATACGTGTCGCAAGTGTTGGACGTGTGACGAAAAAATGGATAAAAAATGTTGAGTATGTATTAAATCTTGGCCTTACTAAACAGTCTACCATATACTAAAAACACGACTGAAAAGCGTAGCGAGGCCCCGTACGCAAGGTAGGACGTCGTAAATCTTGGCCTTACTAACGAGATGAGTCTAGACGATACTAAAACGAGATACAGAAAAGCGTAGCAAGATCCCTACGCAAGGTAGGACGTCGTAAATCTTGGCCTTACTAACGAGATGAGTTTAGACGATACTAAAACGAGATACAGAAAAGCGTAGCAAGACCCCTACGCAAGGTCCCTTCTCTCCACCTGACCACCCTCTCTGCCAACGCCTGTTTCACGACAGTTGTAACCCAAAGGATAACGAGACGGACTAAAAGGGACTCGTAAACGTACCAAAACGAGTGAAAACGTGCGAAAACGTGTTCAAGCGTGACACAACGAGTGCGGACGAGATAAAAAGTGTCACAACGCGTTAGAACGTCTAGTTTTGAACGGGGGCTTCTAACCTAACTCAACCCAACCCACGTGGACGGGAGGGATGTATACGCGGATGTGGCGTTGGGACCCATAGAAAAAAAAAAGTGTAACGATGTATAAAACGTGACACGGCGTCAAGCAAACGTGTGAAA